CAGAACCCAGACACGTTCCCTCACAGAACCCAAACACGTTCCCCCACAGAACCCAGACACGTTCCCCCAAAGAACCCAGACACGTTCCCTCCCAGAACCCAGACACGTTCCCTCCCAGAACCCAGACGCGTTCCCTCACAGAACCCAGACACGTTCCCCCACAGAACCCAGACACGTTCCCTCCCAGAACCTAGACGCGTTCCCTCCCAGAACCCAGACGCGTTCTCCCACAGAACCCAGACGCGTTCCCTCACAGAACCCAAACACGTTCCCCCCACAGAACCCAGACACGTTCCCTCACAGAACCCAGACACGTTCCCTCACAGAACCCAGAGACGGTCCCTCACAGAACCCAGACACGTTCCCCCACAGAACCCAGCCGCGTTTCCTCATAGAACCCAGACACGTTCCCTCCCAGAACCCAGACACGTTCCCCCCACAGAACCCAGACACGTTCCCCCACAGAACCCAGCCGCGTTTCCTCATAGAACCCAGACACGTTCCCTCCTAGAACCCAGACACGTTCCCCCCACAGAACCCAGACACGTTCCCCCACAGAACCCAGCCGCGTTTCCTCACAGAACCCAGACACGTTCCCTCCCAGAACCCAGACATGCAGAAGGGAACTATCCACCCAATGACACAGAAAATATTATGGACCCGGCAAAGTCTGGATCCCAGGTTTGGTGTCCAGAGAAGAGGACTCTTGAAGACCTCTGCCACGGAGACGTCTAGGATGGACATGACTTTGTAATGAGCTCTTACAAGATGGCCGCTGTTTGAGTTTATCAATTTCTAATCAAGATTCAGGCAGGATTTGAGGAGGATGATAATAACCAGGAAGTTCAGCACAGTCCTCCATTCAGACTGGTTATGTGATCAGCACACCTCACAGGAGAGGAACTGTAGTCCTCTAGGCCAGGAACAACAACCTACAGGAGTGTGAGATGTTCAGGAACAAGATTCAGACACTGGATTAAAAGAGCCTGCTTGTATTTCACAGCTTCACACGTTTTACTTATTAAAATACATCCTGAACGTATACATCAAACAGCTTTGACAGTATACTTAGAGTCCCTCTTGTGGACTTTACTGAGTTCTTCCAACAGCCAGAAATGATAAGAACAAGATGATGAGGACAGGATGGGCTGTGGCTCAGGTGGTACAGCAGCTGTCCTCTAAGGGTGGTGGTTCCATCCCCTCCACAGTCCAAGGGTCCTTGGGCAGGACCCTGAACCTGAAGTCGCTTGCAGTGGCAGGCAGCACCTTGGGTGGCAGCTCTGTGACTATGGGTGTATGAATGTGTGAATGTGTGAATGTGAAACACTGTGAAACACTTCTAGTACCGCTGAGGCAGGAAGGAGCTGTGTAAGTGCAGATCATTTACCTACGAGAACAAAAGAAGCAAACGTGCAAAGACACACAAAAGAAATTACGCTTTTATTTGACCGTTGCAGGCAGTAAGTGGTTGATTGTCCGTGTCCTGTTAACCCCGCCTACTTCCTGTGGCAGGCCGGAGTGTGCGGCTGTGAGGAGGGCTACACGGAGGTGATGACGTCTGACGGGCTGCTGGACCAGTGTACTGTCATACCGGTGCTGGAGATCCCCACTGCAGGAGACAACAAGGCTGATGTGAAGACCATCAGAGCCTTCAACCCCACCCAGCCTGCCGCCAGCACGCCGGGCCGGGCCGGACGCACCTGGTTCCTGCAGCCCTTCGGTCCAGGTAACGTCTGGGACACAACACAATGATCTGAATGAAAAACTGGAGATTAATGGTGAAAAATATGGACAATGAGAGCAGAAGAAGAAAACAGCACACTTATGTATATATATTACATATATCTATCTATATCTATATATATATATATATATATATATATATATATATATCTATCCATATCCATCTACATCTATATCTATCTATATCTATATATATATATATATATATATATATGTGTGTGTGTGTGTGTGTGTGTGTACGTATATGTATATCAATCAGGAATCGATCAGGTTGATATATTGGAATCAACCTTATTGGAATAGTAATAATCAAATATTGATCTTAGAGTGCAAATTAGAAGAACAAGCTGCTCATGAAGTTGAATTCCCAGAAGGAGGATCATGTGTACATATGATCATATGTACATGATGTGGACGTGACTCCGTGTTATTTATGTGTGTATTTGTTCTCATCATGGCGGTGTATCTATAGATGGAGGAGTGGCTGTATAACACATGTACAGCTGCCGTCTGTCCCCCACATTCTCACCACGGCTCTGTCCTGGTGACTTGTGAACCTTTGTGCTGCACTGATCATTTGGTGGCCGACAGTTTAGTTTAGTTTCTACTCTCAACAATAAGATATGGACACACTGCACACAGAGTTCTGAGTGTGAGTCTGCTGCCCCCCTCAGCTCAGACAGTGAAATGACAAGTCCAACATCCAGGATGTTAAACTACAGCCACCTCCATTAGAAGTATCGGACACATGACGGTGCAGCGTCTCTCTACAGCTGTGGGAGGCAGAAACCTCCTGGAAAGAACAATTTAAAGGCTGGTTAGATCCTGAGAAGTATGGTGTCCTGGTGTCTGGTGATAGTCAACAGAGTCACTCGTCAGTGTTTAGCATCTCAGAATACAAACAGGGGGCAGTCCTCCACAGGAACATGCTACCAGAACACTAGCTACAGAACCTTCAGTCACTGCACCAGCATAGACAGATGGAAGCTTCACTCCAACATGCAGCAGAAACCTGAATCTTCTGCAGTCTGTTGGTCCAGCCATGTTGGTCCCCTGTTGACTCTGCCATGTGGCGCCTGCCCTGCAGTGTGCTGATGACGTTGTGTGTCTGTGGTTCTGTGCAGATGGGAAGCTGAAGACCTGGGTGTACGGAGTAGCAGCAGGAGCCTTCGTCCTGCTTGTCTTCATCATCTCCATGACCTACTTAGCATGGTAACGTACCGAGGCCTGCATGTGTTTATTTCACCATCACTTCACTTATTCACCAGCATGCAGTGATGTGGTGGGAGCACACTGGTGGACGAGTTTCCAAACAGAACGAGCTTCTGATGTGGACGCTGTGACCAGATGAAGCCTCATCTTCAGATTTCTCACTCAGCAGTAGATGACAGTACCAGATGATGAACCTTCCCAGAGTGAACTTATTAACTCTCAGAACTCCCAGCAGTGTTATCTTAAAAATAGCATAAAAAACAGAGTGTGTCTGTGGGCGAGATAGTGTTGTAGTACTCGAGACCAGTCACTTTTTGAAGATCTTGGTCTTGTCTTGGGCTCGACCGCATTTTTACTCGGTATTGTCTCGGTCTCGGTCACAGAGGACTCGGGATTTTACTGCGAGACCAGTCGAGACCACGGCTGCAAGGACCGCACTAAGCTGCCTCTGAACTGTTTCATTTGTTTAGTAATAGTTTTGTTGTTATTGGATGCAAAACTCCCCGCTTCGAATGTAACCAATAGTTTAACAGATTTTTAATTTGGATTATTTTTTACGGGCTGTGGCCTGTCACCCCACCCCGCCCCTCTTCACAGGCACTCCACTACAGTAAATGCGGGAGAAGGAGTCTGCTCCCTGGGAAAGATGTCAGCAAACTCTGCTGTAATAAAGTTTGGCTTTTCTAACCACAAACAACTTATCTGTAAATCGACGTCAAAAGGAAAACACAGCGCTATACACAAATTCTGCAACGCAACGCTCACTGAGGCGTTCAGGGAACATCGGTAAAATGCACCATCTACCGGAGCAGCATGTGAGGCGTTTGGGGAACATTGGTAAGATGTAGCATCTACCCATGGGCACTTTCAGCAATTGTTTAGCCTGTGTCCAGTTAATGACTGGTATTAGAAGAGGACTGGTGACAAAATAAATATATTTTAAGATTAAAACATTTTACAAATGTCTAGCCATATCTCTGAAGATCATTGCATCATAACTAAGTGATGCAAAAGCAACTATTCATCAGCTGCATGGTGCATTAATAGCTGTGGCAATGCTGATCCAAAATAAGGGAGTGGGGTGACCAGATCATTAGCTTGTGCGACCAGTGAAGAAAGCTGGTAGCACCATGCTACCACTGGAAAAGTTAGTCTGGATCCCTGGAACAGAAACGCAAGAAACCACATTCAACAGCTGAGGATCTCCTGCTGCCCACTGCTCTTGATGTGGTGTCAACAATGACTGATAAGACTACTATCACAAACCTAAAGGCTGTCCTCCCCGTTACTGTCACTGATCACTGAGCAGGTTGTTGCTGCACTGTTTGACTGCTCATGATATTTAATTTCAGTAAATTTAAACTGACTCATTTCATGACTATTTAAGGCGAGGGGGGGCACACAAGATTTTTGTCCTTCGAAGGGGGGCCTGACAGAACCAGTTGTGAGAACCACTGGTTTAGATGATTAAACATAGTTATAGGTATGCTTACAATGGAGTGTTTACTACCATGACAAACATCCTTTTACAAAATCTATTACAGTACAACAAAACTGAAAAAAATACTTACAGTGCCAACTCTTAGAATTAAAACACACAACTGCAGAATAAATGTGTAACTTCAATATAAATTAAACTAAATAAATGTACAACACAATTTTGGGCGCTGTGAGTTCCCTCTTCTTTGGCTTGTTCAATCAAAATCTTTCCCACACTGGGTGTACTTAAAAGAAAAAAATGCACACCTATCCTCTTTCTGAAAATGATTGTAATGCCAGTATTGAAGTAAGAAAATTAACTGGTGTGGTCATTTAATATTTAAGATAAAATTCTAGTATTGACTGTTTGTTTGATACATTAAATGTTTGTTTGCAGTTGCAGACAAGAGTATTACAGGCAACCTTAAAATTACATTGAATAAGTGTTGAATAAAATGGTTAAGTTAAATTTGGTGCGGTCTCGGTCTTGACTCGGTCTCGCTTTGTCTTGGTCTCGGTCTTGACTCGGTCTCGACCCCTCAAAGTCTTGGTCTTGTCTCGGTCTCGATACATTGTGGTCTCGGCCATGTCTTGGTCTCGGTTTAGGTGTTCTCGACTACAACACTAGGGCGAGATGCTGAACCACGTTGCTCCTGATGCTGTGGACCGTGTGCATGAGACACAGACTGTGAAGCGCTCTGTAGAAGCTAGACGACGTCAGAAAAACTGCCTGGAGGTCATGTGGTTCTTAAATACAGGACTGGTATCATTGATTCTGCTCAGCAATGCTACCAGCCTGACCAGGAGCCTCCACAGTGGAGAGGCCTGAATGCTGTCTCCAGTGAGTGGTGCTGTTTCTCCAGCCTCTGCTTCAGGACGTCCCAGGCTGACGTAAATGTACATCCCTTTTAGCACTATGACGGAGTTATTTAACTGGACAAGCTCCTCCAGAGCAGCACCAGACAGGTTGACATCGTTTAACGTGCTGACCAGACTCCACATGCTGCAGCTGTGACATGGCAGTGAGCACACCTGATAGGATCTGATTCTTCCCGATGAGCTGTGTTACAGCAGAACACGCCAGCCCAGGCTAGGTTTATTGACATATAGCCAAGAGTCACTGCTCAGCTCAGCTGGGAAACCCCGCTCTGTTTTTTATTAACGCTAAGGGAAGACGTCCATACGTAGCATCCCTCAGCCCCTTGGCTTCACTCTGTCATCTCTGAGTCCCACCTGGTTCCTGGTGTCCCTGCTGAGGCTTCATCTAGTCTCGAGGACCCATCAGGCTTACACGGTGACATCCAGCAGGGTTCCTGCTTGAGTTCCCATCACATCACTGCTCGTGTCTGCTAATTTCATTTGTCTTCTGTCCTTCAGTTTGCCTGCCGTGTGCCCCTTCATTTCTTGTTTTTCTTTCTCCACCTCCACTCCCACACTCTGCTTAGTTTTTGTGATTGTTACCTTTGCTGCAAGTCCAGTTCTCAGCCCCCCTCAGACGGGGATTACTGGATGGACCCAAGCAGCTACACAGTGCCTTACACCTGCCCCGCCTGCCAGAAACTAGAGCAAGACGAGTTACAGCGACACAGCCAGCAGCAGGATCAGCAGTGTGAGGTGCAGCTCCAGCAGCCTCCACCGGCACCGCAGCAGCAGCCGGCACTGCTGCCACCGGCACCGCCGCAGCCGGCTCTGCTGCCACAAGCAGCGCCACACTTTGAAACGCTCATCACTTAGTCAGGCCTCACCTGCCCCGACTCTCACCCCACCGACATCGTAATGTGCTCAGAAACCCAGAGTGCCTGCTCGCTCAGTGCTGTGGAGGTGAGCCGTCCAGAATCTGTCACACACCCACCTGAGAGCAGGGCTGACTGGAAATGCCAGATTGTTGGACCTGATTTATTCTGTAGGCATCTTAAACCTAAGAAGGAATGTTATTTTCACGAAAGCAAAGTGTTCCTTTAAACTAAGTTTACCTTTATTTGAGGAATTTAATTCACTTGAACAGTTAAGAAACAGAAAAATAGGCAATGTTTATCCAAACACCATAATCTTATTTCAGTATTTTTTCAATTCAAGTCAATTTTATTTGTATAGCGCAGTTCACAACATCTGTCATGTCACAGCCCTGATGTAGTCAGGTACAGACCTGATAGAGGTACAGACCTGATAGAGGTGCAGACCTGATGGAGGTACAGACCTGATAGAGGTGTAGACCTGATAGAGGTACAGACCTGATAGAGGTACAGACCTGATAGAGGTACAGACCTCATAGAGGTACAGACCTGATAGAGGTACAGACCTTATAGAGGTCTAGACCTGATAGAGGTACAGACCTGATAGAGGTGCAGACCTGATAGAGGTGCGGACCTGATAGAGGTACAGACCTGATAGAGGTACAGACCTGATAGAAGTCTAGACCTCATGGATTTAAACAGAGAGTTGCCTCTGGACTCCCTCTGAGCGAGCGGTCAGCAGCGACTATTTCTATATCTGCATATATAAACCTTTGTATGGAGAGCCCCTGTAGCTTGTGTCTCAGCACCGCTGAACTACAGCTGCTGCGACTTTACAGCGGTGAGCCTGAAAGAGAGAAACTACATGTTTTTATACAAACAATGATCCCATTTATTTGTAAGTTGTTCGAGGGACAGCCAGGACTTAAGAGATGCACAGTAATAGGGTTAGTAAACTGGTCACATGATCTCAGCGTCCTCAGTAGAATCTGTGGCCCTAAATGATTCTTGCATCACTTAATAATGAGGATACCAAAGGTTTTGAACAGGGACTGTACGCACACCAAACCCAATCACAACTCAGTGTTTTTCATGTTGTTGTTGCTCTGCTGCCATCTTGTGGTCTCCCATTCATGTCGTCAACACACATTCGTTCTCCTCCTGTTGTCATCACTGTACTACATGTTCTTTACTGGCTCTGATGTGGTCTTCCTACAGTGACTGCTCAGTCTGTGGTGTTTCCACAGAACCAGAACTCTGTTTCTGTGTTCGTCCTACATGCTGACCATGCTCTATAGATCCATAGGGACTGATTTCTGTTCTCCACCTGTGTGAGGTCTTCCCTATGAACAGGATCATTTAGAGTTAACCCTTGCTCAGGTGAATGAATCCACTGCTGAACATCCTGAGCTGTATTTATTGACAGAAGACTGTTCCTGTGTGGGGCTGCAGAGGTCGGTACTGCCAGGTCCCATCAACCATCCTGGATGTAAATCCAAGTTTACGTTTTCTGCCCGTTGCTGTCGGTTCCCTCGACAGTCATGCTGCACTGCCTTTCCCAGTCTGACACCTGTCTTTACATTTAGCTTTAGCAGTGTGACTGTTTAAACATGAAAACATCATAAGAATGGTGGGAGATAGATGGATCAACAAAGCAAATGACTTAAACATCAGACATCATCTCGTGCAGTCGGTCCTAGACTGGACTCCTGCTGCTGGTACAGGTAGCAGGAGGTGTTATGTCTATGGGGCTTGTAATGCAGACTAATGATGCATATCTCAGACAATACTGACTAAAATCAGGTGGACAGCCCCCACATATACGTCACATATTTAAAACTGTTAGAAATAGCGCCACCATGTGGTAAGAAAAAGGCTTACAAATGCTGCTAACTGACTGGTGTAGTCACGTCTGTAGATTAAATGATGGTGCTGAAGAGACCGAGAGGGCGTGTCCACCTGCATCATAGAGAATAAGAACCTGCTGCTAAAGGCTGAACGTTATTCAGCATTTCAACACGATGAGGCTGAAAGGCGCAGCACTCAAACAGTTGGTCTGTGAGCCTATGGGCCGACCCGACCCCAGAACCAGCCAGGACCAGTATCAACAAACACAACAGCACCGCAGTCCTGCCTTGGCTTTCAGAGCAACGCTGTGGTTCATCAGATGGTCTTGGTGGTGATGGTGTTGTGCCTCCTGTTTGTTTGTTCTGCAGCAAAAAGCCAAAGAAACCGCAGCGCCGGCAGATGAACAACAGACTGAAGCCGCTGACTCTGGCCTACGATGGAGACGCCGACATGTAGAGCCGTCCTGCTGCCACGCTGACTGCCAGACGCTCGTCCTCCTCCAGGACACACAGGGTTGCTCCTCCAGTCGGGCCGCTGCTGGTTCCACCAACATGCAGAACAAGATTCTGACAGAACCTCGAAGATCACCACAGAATCATCAGCAGCCTTGACGTTCCCTCTTTTTTATCTCATTCTTATAGTTTGTTTCACAGGAGCCTTCATGAATTCTGTCTTCTTCTGGAAGTCTGCCTTTGCTTCTCTGCCATCTGCTACGTCGTACCGCTCACTCCATAGATGTTGGAGCGGGTCGCCCAGAACTAAGATTTTGCTGAACAAGCACAAGTTTTCATTCATTGGTTCATTTAGTCACAGCTGAGTGACGTCATCTCTGTTTCGCTGTCGTTCTCCGTCCCGTGAGGACGTTCAGCTCTCCTGTAACTACGGCCTGGGTTCATCTCACCAGAACAGACAGAACCAGAACACAGAGGTGAGCTCGTGAACCCGGAGCTCCACTACGTCTGCCTGCCTCCTGTCTCTGTCTTCAGGCATAATTTTGCACTATATTAGTGCAGCATGATACGTACTTATGTCTAGCTTTGCCATAGGAAACTGCCTCTCAATACAAGATGATGTACAGTCTTGTGCTAGAAATGTAAAAACGTAGACTTTTTTTGCAAACAGAACTCACCAATGTTTGTTAATATTTTCTTCTATTACCTCTTGTATGTGGACGATGAGACTCGATGTAAATGGATTTTTCTGTGGTCTCAGCTAAACCTTTCTAGTCTGTACAGCTACGAGCCCCAAACTCTGCCCGAGTTCATTTAAAAGCAACGATTTTTTGACTGTGACTTAATATCATGATTTTTAACTTTGTGAATTCTTAATATGCATCACACTCCTCTGCTCAGGCTGCAGGACACACGTGTTATAAAAGCCTTAGGCTGTGGCATGGGAAGAAACTAGAGACTAAACCATGGAGGACTAGTCTGATCTGAGTTTAATCTGATCTGAGGTGAGTTTAATCTGATCTGATCTGAGTTTAATTTGATCTGAGGTGAGTTTAATCTGATCTGAGTTTAATCTGATCTGATCTGAGTTTAATCTGATCTGAGGTAAGTTTAATCTGATCTGATCTGAGTGTAATCTGATCTGAGGTGAGTTTAATCTGATCTGATCTTAGTTTAATCTGATCTGATCTGAGTTTAATCTGATCTGAGGTGAGTTTAATCTGAGCTGATCTGAGTTTAATCTTGTTGGACTTTCAGGAGTCTCACATAATGTCCTAAACCTCAACCTTTATTTGTCAGAACACTTCATTTGTTTTGCTTTTGTGAAGATCCCAACCTTGTATGTAATAAGTTAACACGCATGTTCAGGATAGAAGCAGCTGAAGGTGGAGGGACGGTCTTTGGTCTTCTCTGGGCTTCACGCTGCTGCTTCCATCCGCCTCCAGCTCTCAGCCAGCATGTTTCCTAGTCTGATGAATGGAGATGTTGGTTGTCCACGTAGCAAGGGAACATCCTCACATCCTGCCCGTGGCTCGGTGAAGCTGTGCCGCTGGTTGGCTTGTGGGTTTGGACAGAAATGGAGGGACAATCTAACGAGCAGTTAGCCTGAAGCAAAGCTGGAGGGCGCCATCACACTTCATCAGAGGTGTTGGTGGAATGATCAGACAGCTTCAGAAAACCTTCTGACACACTGTTCTCACATCGAATTAGGGAGAGTCTGGTGTGGAGCTCCCTCTTCATCCTCTGGCCCGTTCTGTCAGGTGTAGAACAGCCTGTCTTCCAGGAGGCTTCCCGTCTCCATGGAGACAGCTGCTCACTCTGCCTCCAGGTGTGCTTCAGAACACCTACAACCCTTAATACTGATGTGGTCAGACACAACGCTGAAGGAACGTACTCCTGTGATGTTGGAGTTCAGTGAGTCTCACCGTTCCATCCAGGCTCCTCCACATGCAGTAGATAGATGGAGCCTTCATGCTCCCAGATGTGGAGGATAAGCTGGTGTGCTGCCCACACAAAGTTGTGTAGGGATCCCTGGGATATCTGGAGTAAAACCCTTCAGATGGTGACCTCCATCATCATCATCATGGAAGAGAAGTCCTGTAGTTTGATCTCAACCACATGAGGTGATGCAGCTCCATATGTGTAGGTGTTAAATCTAAGCCAGTGTGTTATTCCAGTGTCGGCCACCTGGACGCAGCAGGCTGAAGCCCGAGAACCTGTTTCTGTAAATGATCCCAGTGAGGGATCAATAAAGTTTCATTTATCTGATCTTTGGATGAAGGTCCAGAGGAACCAGACGTTCTGACTTCTTCGTTCCTCCAGACTTACATCTGACTGGTTTACATAGATCCAGCCTTCAGTCTGGGTAGAAAGCAGCCTCCTGACATCTAGTTCCTCTACACGCTTCGTATGAGTTTAATTCTTGACTCGTTTTGACTTCACACACCTTCAGGTAAACCAGATGTTCTGTCAGCTGATCCTGAACTCCAGCCTCATGCTGTAGGACACCAGTTTCTATTCCTCATGGACATTCTTCCCAGTTCACATCCCCAGAGAACCAGTCTGAAGAAAGAAAGGTTTATCATTCATCCATGAGTAATTCATCTAAATGAGCTTCTCAGTCGTGTGTTTCAGAGCGTCCTGTCCCTGGACAGCGTTACTGCTGCGGTCACAGGACGGTGAATGAAGCTTTCCAGAACCTTCCCGATCACGCCATTGTCCCCTGCAGGAACTTGCGGGCCGTTTTAGGGTCACCTGAACCTCTGACTGTGTACCAGCTGCAGGAGGTTCTGTAGGAGAGCCTCTCTCAATGCCGGGATAAGAAATAAATCCTACGACAGCGTAGATGCTCTAGTGGCGTAAAACATTGCTGTACAGGTCTCGATGCTGATTAGACAAACCTGGACAGGACCACATGTCAGGGATCTGCTGGATCCTATGTCTGGTCTCTTAGTGGGAGCAGAGGGGCTGATGACGAGGCCGTTTGGTGAATGTCTGCTACCTCGGGCCTGCAGCGGAAAGCAGAAAACTGTTCAGGAACAACCATGAAGTCAGAATATGTTGAAACGTAACCCATACGATGCTGCCTGCAGTTACTGTCCGCTGAGCTCCAGTCAGCAGAGTGAGTCCTGTTTGATTTATTAGTGCTGAGACGTGATATCATTGCCAGAGGACGGCAGGTTAATATTCTGTCCAGTTTGTGATTAGTACGTTAATGGAATGTTTAATTTATATTTCTTGGAATATGAGTTGTAAATAAAGTGCAATGTCTTTCTTTTTTATTATTTAATATTCTGTATATGTCATATTATGGTTCCTTTTTTACTGCACAAGATGTTACGCAAAAAACAAACCAAGAAAAAAAAGTGGAGGTGTGAATGTGGACGTGCTGATAACCTCGTGGAAAACAAAGACCAACTCTGTCCTTTTCTTACTGTTTGTTTTTATGTATTTGACTAATTGCTGATAATAAACAACGGAAATATTGTCATTAGTGGTTATTTATTTTCATTTACAGAAACAGATACCTGCATCTTCACAAACCTTCATCAACCCTCTGCTCCATCGTCTGCCTGAGACAACATCAGTTATCTCTGCTGGTGTCATTTCTACTCAGTCACATCCTCTCAGCTTCAGTTTGACTAGTTCTAATATACACTCTTGGTGCAACTTAAGACACATCATCAGTGTTGGATCCTGGGTTCACTGGGTGTTTCGGGTCTCACAACAGACACCCTCCCCCAGGCGACCCAGCCGGGGTGATCAAGTCCCGACTTGTGTCTTAAGAGCATGTGTGGTCCACGGATCGCCCCGCTTGATCCACAGCCATCTGGAC